ACCACCACGTCAAGGTAGCAGCTACGGTCGGGAGTCGGTTTAACTAATATAAGTCAGTCAGTCAGTTACAACGTAGAACTTCGTACTTAAGTACATCAGTTCATGTTGCCATACCGCATCAGCACAGAGAAGAAACTGTCAGTTCAAATCTCATAGTGGCAGCGATAGTAGATGTATGAGCAGTAATGGAGAAGATTAGGGTTCGAAGATATGATTCGAAAAGTATAATCATTACTGATGAGATTCTTGAGATGAGTGAAGCACTCGACACGCTCAACTACTTCACTCTCTGTCACTGGTTCATGCCCTAACGCAAGGCAATCCTGGAGCAACATTCTGCATTTCAAGGGAGATAATAGGAAGCAACTGTCAGTTCAAATCCCATTGTGGCAGCGATAGTAGAAGTATTATCAGTAATAGAAAAGATTAGGGTTCGAAGATATGATTCGAAAAGTACAATTCAGTGAGATAAGTTTAGAAAGACAAAGGTAGAGGTGTTGACGAATCCAGAAGATTAGGATTTGAGAGAAGCCAAAGAGTGAATGCACCTGCGCCATTTCATACTCCTTTGAGCCATGTCATTCAAGGTCTCTAACCAATACAAAGCATCGCTCGATGAGGCAGTCGGTTGCTGGACATACGTAACACATATCCCGACCACCTCAACCGATGAAGTTTCACTACTTCATCACTTGATCTGCTATGTTAACCTAGCATCCTTTTCTTAACACCAGAATTATTTACTCGATTGTCCAAGATATACCAGCAATGCTCCGAAAACACGTATGGTTAAATACTGTTGACCCATGAACATTCTTGCTTCTTACTAGCCGTGTTTCACACCCTTAAATAAACGGCACTAACTGGTGCTCAGTAAACTCATCCTTTAATTAATAGACGTATATGTTGCCTACGCCATAAATGACACCAGTTGGTAAGGGTTAGTCGAGCCTTCTGTATCCATACTGAGATTTCATCAGACACTGAGCCATCATTACTGATGAGACTCTTGATATGAGTGAAGCACTACTTCACTCTTTGTCACTGATTCAGGAGCCAACACAAGGCAATCCTGAAGCAACATTTTGCATTTCATGGGTGTTACGCATACACGTCAACATGTCAATTTGATAGGTTTGGACTATTACGAGTTTACCTTAGTCAGTAAACGAGAGGGAGGATTGAGGATCCAGCCACACGACAGGCTACTCTAATCCGAATGTCCCAAACCCCCATTGAGTAAAAGAAGAAGACTTGATATGAAGTAGAGCATATATTCTACAAGCATCCAGAAAGTATGAGGTCCGAGTCCAAAAGAAGGCAAGTATCACGGACTCAGGACCTGGGTCCGGGTCATAAAAAGTTACAGATAATGCATATTTATACAGTTAGGTCGAATAGGAAACAATATTGAAGTTCGTGACACTGACAGTTAGGACGACCAATAGGAATTGATCAATAGACTTAGACTTACAAACAATTATCTCAGGATATTGGATGAATATCCTAACAGAGGAGGAAAACTGCACCCCGAACATGTTTGCATTACTGCTTAGGGTAGTCAAAAGACGCGTCTTCACCGAATAGGACTATGTCATCAGAATACTCTAAGTCAGAAAGCGTGTCTCCTGCTAGAAGGTGCACTCATGTAAAGTCATAAGATGATAATGTTAACTCTAAAAGCATATCTACGACAAAGTTAAACAAGAATGGAGAGGGTGGATATCCCTGACGGACACCACTTGAAGTAAAGAAATCTCATGACACTTCGCCATAAGCTCTCACTCGACCAGTGGTGTTCGAGTAGAGGGCTTGTATAAGGTTAATGTACTTCTTTGGTACACCTCTCAATGACAGACACTACTACAGGACCTCACGATCAACAGAGTCAAGTGCCGCTTTAAGGTCGAGGAAAGCAACTATTGTCGGACGCCTAAATGTGTCTGTGTTCTAGGACCTGACTTTGTACGAATATCTGGTCTATACATCCACATCCAGTTCGAAAACCAGCCTGGTTTTCTCTAGTCTTCTCTTTACGAGCTTTCGAGCATCAATCAGTTCAGTAAATGCTACTGAGATCCACGGCTTCTTTCTAGTCTTATGGTCTGCCTTACTAGAAGATATCACTGGTGTTTCCACAGCCTTTTTCATACCATTCCAAGCTGCCTCCGGATGGAGATCATTTACATGGTCGCCTGTCTTTCTAGTTGCTCCTGAACTATATTCATAGCTCTGTTATCATTAAGTAGAACCCTAATAGGTTTCTATGAGGTGTTTTTCCGGCGTCCGGTAAGTGTCAAACAAATATGTACTCGCACTAGAGCATGATCTGAGTCTAAACATGTCCTCCAAAATGGGCGGCAGTCTTCAGCAGAGCCTCTCCACCGACGGCTTATAGCGATCTGATCTAGTTGGGTCGGCTTTGGGGGTCACCAGTTCAAAAGGTGTTTTACCTTATGCTTAAATTTAGTGTTTGCTAGGAATAGGCAGTTATCTGAGCATAGCTGTTCGATCATCCGCGACACCATAAGATCCATCCAGGTGTCTTTCCTTTTCACTTAGTCTACCTACTTGAGCATTGAAGTCACCAGCCATTACTACTATATCAAAGTGCCTAACTTGTTGGAGGAGGTCCGAAAGCTTTCTGTAAAACTCATCTTTTACTTCGTCTGAACTTCAGTCAGTGGGAGCGTAGGCAGATACGACGAAGAGACAATGTCGAGTTTCCCTATCTTTCCGAGTCCTTACTGTCCACCTAAGTGGGACAGGGCACAAGCCACTATCTCCTGGGATCCAGTCTAGGAGAGCTAGTTCTGCCCTAAGACGTAATACTATACCTACACCAGCAAGGTCGCGGGAAGCAGCATCAGGGCTTCCAGATACACGAACAGTAAATCTAGCTGGTTCTTTATTTAGACATGGTGAGCTCAAGTCAATGACGCTACTTGGATCCTATATGCACGTTTCGGAGACGTAGCTTACATCGATGACGGGAGATTCTAAAGTCCTATCTAAGGAATCCTATTGCCCTACTTGACGCATGGTTCGAACATTTAAAGCTCCATGTAGTTTTTAACAGGGTTCCAGAAGACAAGGAATAATGTTTCGTGAACTCGAATCGTTTGCATTAACGGTGCATATCGATAAAGAAGTGTGAGAACGAATAGTCGTGGAGATAAGAGAGATGTTAAGGGTTGTAGGAAGGATTTGATTGTGACCAACTTGATCTTGTATGCTGTTATGGGTACGAGTACGGATGTCACTTCCCGGCTGCCCACACCGCTGATGGGTGTTTGTTGAAGAACCTAAAAAAGAAGGTAGATTAGTGTTGGTCTTAGAGACTTGGGAGCGTGACCGCAGAGCCCAAGGAACAACTGTTTGAGGCCGGTCACACGCGGCCTTTTTATGAGAACTTTCTGAAGTGTTAGCTCTGTTCTTTTTAAAAGGTCTTATCGCCGGAGATGGAAGTCCGTGAGGTGTGACATTTTTAGGGTCGACATTTTCTAACCCCTTCTTTCCTTGTGAGAAGGCAGCATCGCTGTAGATGCTGGTTGTCCGAGGGAAACAACTTACTGCTGTCACACCCTTCTACAGTTAGCAGTACGACTTGACCCTCAGACCTTGAGTAGCTGTTTTTAGTCTCCTCATTCTCCAATCGACCTTCCTTGCATGGTAGAAGCTACTGATACATTTGTTCCAGCCAACATACGTCGTTTGAGTCATAACGATAGGCCAGCCCGACCATCACGTCAAGGTGGCAGCTACGGTCGTGATCGCGCCGTTTTACCGTAAGGGTGTGAAACACAGCTACTAAGAAGCTAGGATATTCATGAACTACTTGTATTTAACCATAGGTGTCTTCGAAGCGTGGCTGGTATCTCCTGGGACAATCGAGTAAACAATGCTGGTATTAACAAAAGGATGCTAGGTTAAGATGGCAGATCAAGTGATGAAGTATTGAAAATTCACCAGTTGAGGTGGTTGGGACATATGTTACTAGTGCCCAGCAACCGACTGCCTCGTCGAGCGATGTTTTGTAGTGTAGGAGCAGGCTGGAAGGAATATAGGAGCGGCCGAACTAAAACATGGCAGAAATTCATGAAGTCACTGACATGTGCACTGAGTCATGTTGGTAGATGCAGACTACCTGGTTGAAGTCCCTGCAACCAGTGATTGAAAATATGAATTGACATGCTTCAGAAGCAGTAGCAGTGATGTAGAAATATTCACACTTATTGCATACATTTTATTTTGCAAATGCATTATTTTTGCTAAAACCTTACCAGTGTTTAATCTTTCCCAATAAATTTGTTACTATTATTGCGGTTCAATTTTATCACATCGGCTTCATCTCGTTATAATGCTGTTGGTAGAATCGAACTGATACACTTTTGTACCTAGCTCTATGTTGATTATAACTGACTGATGGTATTTGATGTAAATGGCAAGTTTACTGAATGTATTGATAGATACATCTACATTTTAGATGGATTATTACAACCCAAATATGAAGTGTCAAAAGCGACGCAAAAATTCCTCCCCCAACTGTGTACTGGAATCATGAGATCACAAATTAAAAATTCCGAATCAATCGCTTTGTCTCCGGACCGAGCAAAAACCATTCCCACAACGCTATCCTTTCATCATGTATCATATGATGTTAAAACCAAAACCTTCCCATGGAGTTCCCCAAGTTGCTTTAAAGTCCTTTCAGATATTAGGTGAGAGTTCCAGTATTTTTACGAGGTTTAGTATCCAATATCAATATGCTGCTTTACAGCTTATAAGAGTTTTCACAAAGCAGATGACTTAAATAGATTTTAACTGTGAATATTTGTCAACGATGGAACTATTTTATTTTTTTAAATAGTTTTTGGTAAAAAAAAGGGGCACCAAATATTTATGCACCGCGCAAATCAATGAATCTGTATAGGTTAGGATACTCTCCAGATGCCCTAACCGAAGTAGGCGGTTTTCCCAAAGGGCCACTTCCTCAAGTGTTTGACCCCAAAGTTTAATCTCCGAGACAATGGGGCGATGTAATCAAATGCAGTCCCATGTTAGTCGGTGACCGATTTTAATGAACAACGCCCCCCCACGAGAAGGCAGTGAGTAGGACTTCCCTAATAATGGCTATTTGCGGATGGCCATGTGAGAGAATTTGGAGAGGCAGAGCGGACTCTCCTCACTTTCAGCCGAACCAGGGCACTTGGGGGCACCCTCATTGTGCAAAATGCTTGAAGCTGATTTTGTAAGATTAGAACGAGGTGAGCTTCTTACTGGTCTCTCCCAACCATCCTTCGCCAGAAATTCTTTCAGTAAGTCTGGTTGTTTTACGGAACCTAATTTCTCAAATGCATTTCGTGAATGTGAAACGGTTATTCGTCCATAGATATTTTCATAGTGGTATTATCATTGGCCAAGAAAAACAAAAATAATCGGTTTAAGTACAATGGAATATGAAGTAATTGTGTTTGAATTATATCCATCCATTCTCCGCTAAAGGAGGACGTTAACACCTTTACATATCTGGGCAGCATCATCGACAACCATGTTGGATCCGATGGAGATGTGAGGGCACGGATTGGCAAAGCAAGGGCTGCATTTCTACAGTTGAAAAATATCTGGAACTCCAAACAACTTTCAACCAAAACCAAAATAAGGATTTTCAATAGAAATGTGAAGACAGTTCTACTGTATGGAGCGGAAACATGGAGAACTACGAAAGCCATCATCCAGAAGATACAAGTGTTTATTAACAGTTGTCTACGCAAAATACTTTGTATTCGTTGGCCAGACACCATCAGCAACAACGAACTGTGGGAGAGAACAAACCAGATTCCAGTGGATGAGGAAATCAGGAAGAAGCGGTGGAAGTGAATAGGACACACTACGAAAAGCACCTAACTGCGTCACGAGACAAGCCCTCACATGGAACCCTCAAGACAAAAGGAAAAGAGGAAGGCCAAAGAATACATTACGCCGAGAAATAGAGAAAGATATGAGAGGAATGAACAAACATTGGACAGAACTGGAGAGAGAAGCCCAGGACAGAGTTGGTTGGAGAAAACTAGTGGGCGGCCTATGGTCCATTGGGGGTAACAGGTGTAAGTAAGTAAGTAAGTAAGTAAGTATTCTCCGCTAAAAGTTACACAATCTGGTGGTTGAAGCCAAAAGATGGTACTCAAATATTATCCTTGGTTCTGGCTATACTACGACTTCTCTATTTTTTTGTCATCAATGGTATCGCTTTTTTAATGTGACGGTTTAGCGGACGTTAACAAATGGTTTATGGTTTATGTATGTATGGCTGATATAGTCTTGAAACCTGGGTTTTTTCGTCAGTTTTTGTTTTAACAAAAATGTTCCTTTAATTTCTATCTAGTGGGTTTATGCCCCCAGGAATGAACGCAATAATCGGACCGACAGGATCTGGAAAGTCTACGTAAGTTGCTGACATGTAAAATTTTAGGATTTTAATATTCCATACGTGAATCTATTGGCTATAAATATATTCATATTATTTCACAGAAAAATTACTGTTTCAAATTGTGTTGTATGTACATAATTTGTGTTGTCTAATAGTTTTACATCAACTTTTTGATAGATATAGCATTTAAAACCCATAAATTTGTACAAGGTTTTATAAGATTCATGTACTTATTGATCATTCTGGATCTGTTATTTTAACTTCGGACTTTATTTTGCCTCAATGAAAAAGTCATTGTGCAACTTTAGACACCTTTGGCTCGTTGTAGGTTGCCACAGAGGTTCACAGTTGAGGGTCTCTTTTTAAGCACTGTTTTGTTTTTCAGTTAGGGTGTAAGAACCAATGTCCTTGTCATCTGGCTGCAATCACTTGTACACTGGTGTCTTATCTGTCTATCTGTCTAATCCGCGTTTACAACACCAATACTACTTGCCACTAGATGTCAATACCATATTAACAGTCCAAGTCATTATACTTTATGCATTGCACACTGAAAAGAAATTAAGGAGAAGGAGGCAGAAGTTAATTAAAATTATTCATTACGCCAAAACCAGGGGGACTTATTTAAGATAAATGGATAGAAAGATCCGTAGTAAAAATCTATTCTTTTTTGTCATGATACAACTAGGATATGAGCGTACCACAAAAGTATTTTGAGGCATATTGACTATGGCTTTTAGATTTTATTGTGGAGCTTAATCATGGCGTTGATAATCTCTTACAAGATCACTTCAACAGCCGGAAAACTCTCATTTTGTGATCTAGACCCAACTACTAGCAACTGAAACAGAACTCGTTTTCTCAACCGAAACCTCTTTTTTTATGTTGTTAAAATCCTATTTATTTGATGGGTAAAATGTGCTTGATAATGAAAATATTATCTAGCCACTCATTATCGTTTATTAGTTAGTGAATAGTTGTCCCATTGTTGTTGCACTCAATTAAGTGTCGAACCACTCACTTTGAAAAACACCTCCACTCGAAACTTTTTTGGTAAACTACCCTAACAGCGTAGAACTTCATATTTATGTACAACAGTTCAAGTTGCCAAACCATGTTAGCACAAAGATATCGAGTTGTCAATTAAAATCCCGCAGTAGTAGAGCCAGTAGAAGTGTTCACGGTAATCGAAAAGACTAGGGATCGAAGATATGATTCGAGAAGTACATCCCAGTGAAATAAATTAAAAAAAGAAAGTTAAAGGTGATAAGGGATTTAGAAGATTAAGATTTGAGAGAAGACAAAGAGTGGATGCACCTGCACCATTTCAGACTATTTTGAGCCATGTCATTGAAGGTCTCTAACCATCGGTTTTGATTGTTTCTTGGCCCCGACCAGGTAGTCTACACCTACTAAAATGGCTCAGTCTAGTTATCAATTACTTCATTGATATGTGCCATGTTTTAGTTCGGCCGCTCCTAGCTTTCTTCTAGCCTGCTCCGACACCACAAAACATCGCTCGACGAGGCAGACGGTTGCCGGGTATACCTAACACATATCCCGACCACCTCAACTGATGAAGTTTCAATACTTCATCACTTGATCTGCTGTCTTAACCTAGCATCCTTTTGCTAACACCAGAATTGTTTACTCGATTGTCCAAGATATACCAGCCATGCTTCGAAGACACCTATGGTTAAATACTGGTAACCCATGAGCATCCTGAATGGCGAGTTGATGTAAGTCACCCAACTCTTAGCGAGGCTGAAAAGACTATAGGTAATCGAAAGCAACGAAGCGTAGCAGGGCCTTATGGACTAACCCATGGGATTTTCGAGGATTGTAGTCTAGTGTTAGCAGTTGAATTAACTTAGATCGTGACCGGTCTCAATGCCTTACCATCCCAGTCGTCGGGTAATGTTCAGTGAGTAGTCGGTTTAACTAATATAAGTCAGTCAGTCAGTTACAACGTAGAACTTCGTACTTAAGTACATCAGTTCATGTTGCCATACCGCATCAGCACAGAGAAGAAACTGTCAGTTCAAATCTCATAGTGGCAGCGATAGTAGATGTATGAGCAGTAATGGAGAAGATTAGGGTTCGAAGATATGATTCGAAAAGTATAATCATTACTGATGAGACTCTTGAGATGAGTGAAGCACTCTACACGCTCAACTACTTCCCTCCTTGCCATTGGTTCAGGAGCCAACGCAAGGCAATCCTGAAGCAACATTTTGCATTTCGAGGATGAGAATAGGATCTTACTAATTGCATATAATTTTGGAGTTTCAAACACAGGCTAACCAGCTTCAAACAATCATACATTTTTGATTGATTACTCAACTGGCAATAGTTTTTTGTGGAGGGATACCTATAAAATCTCTACTAAAGCTTATATTTCCCAACTTCAAATGTTGAGCTCATTAATGTGAACATTACTTGGAGCAATTTTACTATTCCTATTGTCACTGTTTGATTTTATAAATCTTGCTGAGACATTATGAAATTTTTCTATCTATTATCAAGCCTCCTAGATGTATTAGCTGGACGTAAAAATCCTTCACAACTTACTGGATATGTTTTATTGAATGGTCAATTTTTGCCAAATAGTGTTCGACGACGTCTTTGTGGATATGTTGTACAGGTAAAAGCAAAGTGTATTAACTACTGCGTAATAAAAAAACATGTTTTATTTAACAATAAGTTTTACAATCTACACTGGATGTTTTAAATATAGGAATTTGCTGTTTTTTCATGTTTAACTTTCCACCCACAAAGTTTATTTATCACAAAATTTTTACTACCTTCATTTCTCCTTCAGTCATGGCCAACAGTTAAATTCAGTAGAATAGGACCATGGTTTCTTAATGATTAAGCACTAAAATTGGAACTTGATTCAATTTAACCAACTCATTTACCAGGTATTTAGGTATAAGCTGTACTCTATACATGCTAGCTGACAGCTATACTCAGACATTCGGAACGGAGTAAATAAAACAGGTTTCGAACCTAGAATCTATTGACAGATAGTCCAGTGCCTTAACTAGTAAACCATTGCTACTGTTGGAGAATATTAAGCGTTAAATTATTCATATCATATTCGTTCATACAGGACGGTAATATTTTTATAATATTGTATAACGGCTTCAATTTCTTGTACAGTATTTTTATGGTCACCGAAAACTCAACACTTTTTAAAAACAGTTTTTATAATCATTCAATGCCTAATAGAGCTCAAAATTAGTGATTACTTGGTAAAAAAAATTGAACTTGCTCTAGGTATCTACGTAAGTTTATCGATCAAATCTGCCTCAGGATCAGATCGAGGCTTACCAAACAAGTAAATCACTCTCTTAAAAGTTCTTTACTAGAGTCTTCACTTTTCAAGCATATCTCACAGCCGATTATGATCTGAATCGATAACATTTAAATGTTCAGTAATGTTGTTTAATTTCACCAGTCTTAATTTATTTTTTATTGATATGCCTTCAGTGCTAACAATTAATACTTCTACTTTTTGATAGTTTAGTTTCACGTTTTGGAGTTTTACCCACTAATAACGGATTCTCAGAAAATAGTTCTAGTTGATTAGATTCTAACAAAATACAAAGTTGTGTAAACACTGGGTAACATTAGGGAAAGGTTTTTGTTCAGATTTCTTTAATTCTGAACACAATATTTTGTTTCAGAATTAGTATCCTCCATCATTACTTAGTTTAATAGTTGGCAATGAAGCGTATTAGTACCATGGTTCATTCATCTATCTAAGGAGGTTTGTCGACTGTAGTGAAATGGTGAATGATGGTCTTAGACCAGATCAATTAGAAAGTTTAGCTTTTATCAGCTTCTGCCGCTTGTGTGATAGGTGATTTTTGCTTCTGCTTATCAGACGGTTGGTATACAACGTAACCGTCCTCTGTTTTACTTAAAGGCTATGGACTGTCGCTCTTGCTAGTAAATACACTCATGGTTTGTAATTGTCTGCTCGGAGATGTTTTTAAAACGTTACTGCCACGTAATAAAACAACTGACTTAAAATCCTAGGTAAAGTGGTAAATTGTTAGATGAGGTTGTGAAATTTCATCAGCTGATGTGATTGAATTATGAGCTACATATTCCCAACCATCTTCTTCCACTATACCGATTATCGTAAGAGATGGCCCATAAAAGTATGCGCTACACATGCCTAGTCACCACCTGCCAAGGCCTGTAGTGCTGACCAGTATAGGAGTAAGTTAGACAAGGGATTTAGTACAAAATATGAAGCTATTGACTATAGAACCATATTGCGGACTTCTTTTCTGGGGCCCGCGCAATACACATTATCACTGGTTGGAAACGTTAAGTCACATTAACGCATGTGGATTTATTTTCATCCTCCTGACAAATTCAGTCGATATATTTTTGTCTCCGATCGTGCGTTGATGATGACTGAGTGATTCACATTTTTTAAAGATAAAAATCTTTGCCAAAATTTCCAGATATAAGTCTGTGTGTGATTATGGTTTCTTAATGCGCTGTCTTACTTTGACTCAGGAAAATATAGCTGTGGATACACTTACAATTCGAGAGAATATCACTTTTTCTGCTACGTTACGATTACCTCGTTGTACTTCTGCCCGTGAAAGAGATAAAAAAGTATCCAGTGTTATTGAAGAACTTGGTCTTACCTCTGTTGCTGATCGAATAGTAAGTTCTGTGAATACAGAAATATGATACATTCCTTAATTGTAGCCTGTATTATGGGAGATTCATTCACAGACTTTAGGTTGTACTTTTAATTCTGTTTACTTCTAACTGTTATACGTATGTGTCTATTGGATACGATCATAAATAAACAATTTAATTCTCAATTAAACATTAAATATTTAATTATAGTAAAGTTTGTTTTTTAAGAGTAACTAATCTTTATATAAAATGGATATTTTGTCCATATATGTATAAACTTGTGTTGTCCGTCAGTCAGTCAGTCAGTTACAACGTAAAACTTCGTACGTACGTACGTCAGTTAGAGTTGCCATACCACATTAGCACAGAGACTCAACTGTCAATTCAAATCCCATAGTGGTAGAGATAATAGGAGTATGTGCAGTAATCAAAGAGCTCAATGATTCAAAATATCATTCAAGTTGTATACCCTAGAGCCATGTCGTTCAAGGTCTCTAACCATCGGTTACTTTCGTCTCGCGGACCCAAACAGATAGCCTATATCTACCAACATGACTCAGTACACTTGTCAGTGACCTCATGGATGTCTGCCATGTTTTGTTCTGGCCGCCCTGCTCCTACATCATAAAACACCGCTCGATGAAGCAGTCGGTGGTTGTGTATACGTAACACATGTCCTAACCACCTCAACTGATCAAGATTCACTACTACTTTATCAATTGATTTGCCGTCCTGCCTAGTACTCGTTTTCTAAAAACTGCATTGCTTACTCGGTTGTGCCAGGATACACGCTGGTGATCGAAAACCAACAAAATACAAATATCTTCGGCTCTTATTATTTAGTCACAATTTACAGCCATAAATTAGAACGCAACAAACTGCTGCGCAGTAGACTCGCTCTTTGGTTCGGAAACGGATATCTTGCCTACGCTATAGGTGACGCGAGTTGGCCAAAGCCAGTCGAGCTTTCTGTGTCCGTACTGATTTTCATCTGTCACCAGGCCATCAGAACAACTGATGAGAACCCCGAGATAAGTGAAGCGGTCTACACGCTCGACTACGCATCACTGGTTCAGGTGCCATCGCAAGCCAATCTTGAAGTAAAATTTTAAATTCCGAGGGAGAAACTGCATCTCGAACATGCTTGCATTGTTGCTTAGGGTAGTTAGAAGACTCTGCGTTTTGTCATCGTCTTCACCAAGTAGAACTATGTCATCGGCATATTCTTAGTGAATAAGTGAGCCTCCCGGTAGAAGGTCTACTCCTGAAAATTCAGACGAAGATAATGTTCAAATTTCAATCAAAATATAAACAACAGAACAATTTATACCATTTTAAATTGAAGTTAATAGTCTTTGTTATGGCTTTAATGAATTTCGTAGTCTTTGCGTTTTCGCAGTGTTAACATCATAATAAGTTAGGTTAACCAGTAGTTATACTAACTAGTTATTAATGTTTTACACCTGATACAAAATGAGTCAACAACTAATAGATTTAGAAGCTGTTTAACATTTTAGTCTTATCTAGCTATCGTATAGAGGTTACCTAGAACCGTTATATTTACATTTCCGCTAGGATATCTTGGAGAAAAATGATTTTCTTTATACTTTGGTATATATATATCAGTCAGTCAGATGCAACGTAGAACTTTGTACATAAGTACATCAGTTCATGTTGCCATACCACATCAGCACAGAGATGTAATTGTCAATTCAAATCCAATAGTAGAAGAGGTAGTAAAGGTATTAGAAGTAATCGGAGAGGTTAGAATGAGAAGATATTATTCAAGAAATATGATTCAGTGAGAAAAGACTAGAGAGTCAAACTAGGGGGTTGAGGAATCCAGAAGATTAGGATTTGAGAGAACACAAAGAATAAATGCACCGGCGCCATTGCGAACGATTTTGAGCCATGACATTCAAGGTCTCTAACCATCGATTACTATCATCTCGTGGACCCCAACCTGGTAGTCGACAATTACCGACATGACTCAGTCCACTTGTCAATGACTTCATGGATTTCTGCCATGTTTTGGTTTGTCCGCCCCTAGCTTTCTTCCAACCTATTCCTACACTACAAAACAAAGCTCGACTAGGCAGTCGGTGGTTGGGCATACGCAACACATGTCCCAACCACCTCAACTGATGAAGTTTCAGCAATTCATTGATTGATCTACCATTGTTACCTAACACCCGATTCCTAATAACAGCGTTGCTCACTCGGGTGTCCCACCGTATACGAGCAATGCTTCGAAGGTATATATATATATATATATATATATTTGAAGTTAACTTACAGAACAGCCTAATCTATATGACTGAAATTATTCATTGTACTTACTACTAATATCATTAAAAATCTTAACCATTACATCAATAATTACAGATTGGTACTCAATTTACCTGTGGTGGTATATCTGGTGGTGAACGTAAACGTACATGTATCGGTATTGAATTAGTGAATGATCCATTGGTCCTTTTTTTGGATGAACCTACAACCGGTTTAGATTCATATACTGCTACAACAATAATTCATACACTTAAACGGTAAGCAAATATGATTACTTGTTTTTTTTTATCCTTAGAAGAAAATGTCTGTAATTTATTTACCTTAAGTTTTTTTACTTTTAAACAAAGATTTGATTCACAATATAACAAATCAGTGTCACACAAGACGCATTCCTATGATTTATGGTGAATGAAGTTACCTTTATATGTAGTTGTTTATTGAAATATCTGAGATTAGTATATGCCACTACTCGTTTGGAATTCGGATTTTCTTACATTCATAATTTAAAGCTTATTTAATCATCCATCATTCATTGTTCTTGCTTAATTACTGTGTGACCATTTTATCTGAACTATTTTAAAGGGAATATGTAAGTCGTGAACAGGTAGATTATCCTTGAAAATGACGATATGAAATCATTTCGATAGGATATTCGAATCATTTAAAATGGTTTCGTGAAAAAAATTTAACTATTTGTTAGGACATTCATCCAATATCCTAAGAGAACTATTGGTCTATTCCTATTGGTTAATTCCTACTAGTCAATTTTATAGTCGTCCTAGCCATCAATGTCACGTGCTCCAATGTTGTTTCTTATTGGTTGTCCTGACTATCAATGTCGCTTCCTATTGGTCGTCTTAACTGTCGATGTCACAGACTTCGACGCTGTTTACTATTCGACCAAAATGTATAAATATGCATTATCTGTAACGGTTTATGACCAGGACCCGGTCCCGGATGCCTAGTCCGAGATCCTGATTGTCTTCTGGACTCGGACCTCGTACTTTCTGGATGCTTGTAGAATACAGGTTCTACTCCACATTCAAGTCTTCTTATTTTCACTCAATATGGGGGTTGAAATAATCGGATTTGAGTAGCATGTCGTGTCGCCGGATCCTCGATCGTCGCTCTCGTTTTCCAACTAGGTAAACTTGCAATAGTTCAAGTATATCAAGTTGACGTGTTTACGTGCAGGCGTAACACTATTCGTACATAGTGTTTATGAATATGATATTTAAATTACTGGTTATAAATAATTTTTTTTATGGTGGTGCTCAAAAATCGAGCATATCTTTGTGTAATTGATTTCAGATCATACTTTATCTATAGATGTCATTTACCAAATGCAGATTTTCATTCCCATCTATCATGTTATTCATGTTTTATAGCGCCTCCTAGTTTACTAACATGACATCATCCACAACTACAAATTCATAATATATTGTTTAGTGAAAAACTCATCAATATAAACAGGAGGTTCTAACATTAGCGTGAAATGTATATACAACTGTCACATCTTGTTAAACTTTGATTGCTTGTTTAATGGTCAAAAGTTCAACTTCCAGCCATTATGTTCCAAGTTCAAATCCCGCACCGTCTATTTCGGTTTAGGTAGGGGGCGTTAGATCCCCAGAACTCGCTTGATAAATTTCTTATTTTGGGTTGAGATTTCATTTCCCACCAAGAAAATCTTCGGCTGTGATTGGCTGCTGTGTGCTATTTTTGTGACTGTCCGGAAGATGTTTCTATGATGTATAAATAAACGAGATTTGTGTGCTTGATTGTATTGTGTGATTGCTGGGTGTTTGTAGAATATACTTTCTACGCTTATCAAGATTTCTGTTTTACCGTTTTCGGATCAAAGAAGCCTACCTGGACGCTGATTAATTGTCTCGTTCACGTTTATCGACTAAGGTGAACCCGAAATAGCTTCTAGTGTACGTAGTGATGAACCTAACAGTTTAGGCAGTAGATTAGTATCGTCAATTGTCACAATTACAGTGCAACTGATAGCTAAGTATCTAGTGAATACATTATTTTTGTATTTTCATGTAATTCACTCTCATAAAAACTGCTTTGATCGTTTTTTGAAGTGTTGTCTTGGATTCGGACATTTATTCACCTGAGAATTCCATGTTTTTTTGTTTACAAAAATTTGTTTTTCAGTTTAGCTGACTCTGGTCGTACAGTTGTTTTCACAATTCATCAACCAAAATATTCAATTTATCGTTTATTTGATCGACTTACCATAATTTCTGATGGACAAATGATTTATCATGGACCAAGTGGTCAAACACCAATTGTTCATTTTGAAAATTGTGGTCAGTAGTAAGAATAGGATGAAAAAATATTTTTAATTATGTTTAAATATTCATAATGTTTATTATATTAGCGTTAGCAGTGATTTTCATTGTTTTTTATGTTATTTTCTAGGTAGGGATGACAAATCAATAGATGAAGTAATGAAACTTCATCAGTTGAGGTGGTTGGGACATGTGTTACGTATGCCCGACTGCCGCGACAAGCTATGTTTTGCAGTGTAGGAATAGGTTGGAAGAAAGCTAGGGGCGGCCAGACCAAAACATGGCACAAATCCATGAAATCACTGACAAGTGGACTGAGTCATGTTGGTAGATATAGGCTACCTGGTTGGGGTCCGCGAGACGAAAGTCACCAATGGTTAGAGACCTTGAACGACATGGCTCAAAATCGTTTGCCATGAAGCAGGTGCATCCACTCTTTGTGTGCTTTTTAATTCTAACCTTCTGAATCCCTCATAATCTCTATCTTTCTCCTTCTAAATTTATCTCACTGAATTATACTTCTCGAATCATATCTTCGCTCCCTAATCTTCTCCATTACTGTTAATACTTCTACTATCGCTATCACTCTTGGATTTGAACTGACAGTTACGTCTCTGTGCTAATGTGGTATGGCAACCTGAACTGATGTACTCATGTACGAAGTTCTGCGTTGTATCTGTCTGTCTGTCTGTCTTTTATGTTATGTTGTGCAACAGGTTGTTGCGGTTAGCTTTTGTTTTCTTGTGTGCCCGTTTATCGAAACCTCATGCTAAATCACTAATCAGAATATGACTTTGAATTTTGTCTTTTTTATTTACTCTAATAGCAGCTTAGTATCTCTAACTCGGCCAGTTACACATCTGATTTATATTATTTATCTTATGAATCAACAGTTAAGTCCCCCTATTCGTCTGCAACTCTGTAGCTCCCCTTTATATCCTGCCCTTGAGTTCAAAAGTCAGGAGCGATTCTCTACGGTATCTATATTTCAAACAGATATTATTTAAATACAGATGTGTTTATTCACCGATCAACCATCGTATCATAATAACGCAACTTAACAACCAAGCATAAAATTGTATACTCATTGATGAGCCACATGTTTTGTATAGGACGACAAGTGAAACTATCTGGCTGCTAGAACTTAAGACAAAATTTCAATGTTGACCGGTTTAACTATAACGACTAGTCATCATTGTAGTAAAATCATGTTAGTTTGTTTGAATGTTTCTGTAGTGACCTTTGTACATTTCAACGATGATTTTCATCACGAGATGATAGGTGAAGAAACATGATAACCTGGAGAGTGATAAATACCTATCTCAACTTAGAATTCGAGAATCCTAAATCGTATTCCACTAAGCTAAAACAAAGACTTAGACTAGCTTTTGGATCCAACTTCCAACTACTTGTCGGCATGCTCAAATCTCATCCAACCTATATCGATTTGGGTAGAGTGGTATTACTACTTTGCATACAAAATATATTCGGCTGTTAAATGAGTTCCAACTAACCAACAACAAATAAAAAATTGTTTTATAATATGGTATCATTAAATTCTATTTAATCATAACTTATATCTCCTCTTTTTTTTAATATAAAAAGGTTATTTCATTGAAGGTCATAATAATCCAGCGGATTTCTTTATGGATATTTTACATGGAGAAGTCGACGTTAATGAGACTGTTGTACAACAAATAAATATTTCAGGTAATATGAACATACAGTTTATATATATATATTTATTAAAATAAAAAGGACAAGTGTACTGCGTAATAGTTTGCTCCATCCTACTTATGACTGTGAAACATGACCAGTGAGAGTCGACGATATTCGTAGGTTACTGTTTTTCGATCATAGGTGTCTCCGAAGCATTCCTCGATTATCGTGGGACTATCGAGTAATCAATGCTGTTGTTAGGAAACGGGTGCTAGGTAAGGATGGCAGGTCAATAGATGAAGTAATGAAACTTCATCAGTTGAAGTGGTTGGGACGTATGCCCAGCAACCGACTGCCTCGACGAGCTGTTTTGTAGTTTAGGAGTAGGTTGGAAGAAAGTTATGGGCGGCCAAACCAAACCATGGTAGAAATCCATGAAGTTATATTGGTAATTTCACACTACCTGGTCGGCGTCTGCGAGATCATAGTAACCGATGGTTAGAGACCTTAAACGACATGGCTCAAAACCGTTTGTAATGACGCAGGTACATCCACTCTTTATATTCTCTCAAATCCTAATCTTCTGAATTCGTCATCACCTCTATCTCCCTGTTTCTAAATTTATTTCACTGAATTATACTTCTTGAATAGTAGCTTCGAACTCTAATCTTCTTCCATTACCGTTAATACTTCTACTACTACATCTACTACTATGGAATTCGAAATGACCGTTGCATCTCTGTGCTAATGTGATATGGTAACCTGAACTGATCTACATATGTGCGATGTTCAACGTTGAAAGTGACTGGATGAATGATTAAAATAGAAAAAAAAAATCACTAAACTCAATCATTCTGCAAATAAAAGCTGTTTGTATTGATTACATTTATTGTATAGGCGTATCTTTTGTACTAAATTAATATTTTTACACATTTGAAATCATCAATCAATCATTGTTAGACCACCATTAGAAACCTGGAAGCACTGGACGGCCGTTTCGTCCTAGTATGGGACTCCTCAGCAGTGCGCATCCACGACTCCTGCTCCTCGCAGGATTCGAACCCGGGACTTTTTTCATTGTAGGCGAACGCCTTACCATCGGACCACTGGGCCGGCATCCAACGGCGTTGATGTCTAACTCTGATGGATCTAGGGATTTTGCGCGACCTCACCCATTTGTCTTTGGTAGTTACTGCCTACACCCGACAGGGTTGAACTCCACTGGTCAGGTCTTCTCAACTAGAACTCCGAGAATTTCCTCACGAAGCTAGTCACTAGTGAGCAATGTTACGATATTTTGGGGCAGAGTTTTTTGGAGGTTTGCGTTTTTACACATTTGAAAACATCAAAAAAATCATTGTTAGACCACAGTTAGACCTCCAAAACTGTGCCCCAAAATTAATATTTGTTTCATTTGCATGATGTTTTTCTATGCACAAGTTTTTCAATGAAATTATTAATTATTATTATTATTAATTAAAAGTGATTGTTAAAAATCTCTTTCAAATATCATTAGTGAAACTTAGAGAATTTTTTTAAAATCTTGAACTTGTCAATAACAAGCTTGTCAGAGGCTAATTATGTCTGTTCTATTGATGATACGGAAGTGATTTGTTCTAGTGTTTCGTTTACGTACTGATTCTTTGTACCTATCGATGCGCATATCTTGCATAGTTTCTTCATTCAGTTTTTTTTTTCAGTAGTACCTGGTTTTTAAATGTTAACAAAAGTTTAACTTTTATAGGAATTTTAACTGATTAACTATATTTACACAGTTAGTTGACGATTAGAGGGGATACTTAAATTGGAGCTTTCATTTTATTACTATTAAAAGAGTAGTTCACCCAAACTTTTTTGATTAAAGGTTTCTAGTTTATACTAGATATTGCATTTGGTGGTGATAATATCTACCTGTCTATTTTACAAAGTTGTATTAGATGTAAAAAAATTGCACAGTATATGACCTGTCATATTATCTCACTTAAATGATCTTGATTGCTTAATATTATTACAAGATTTTTTTAAAAATCACACAAATAACTTTTTTCAATGACCAACTGATGTAAATTACCACCTGGTTGGGGTCCCGCGAGATAATAGTAACCGATGGTTAGAGACCCTGAATGACATGGCTCAAAGTCGTTCACAATGGCGCTGATGCATCTATTTTTTGCCTTCTCTAAAATTCTAATCTTCTGAATTCCTCATGACCTTTTCACCTCTTTTTAAATTTATTTCACTGAATTATATACTTCTTGAATAGCTTCTTCGAACTCAAATGTTTTTGATCACCGTTAATACTTCGATTACTATTGGCTTCAAATTGACAATTCCATTTCTATGTGATAATGTGAGATATGGCAACTTGAAGTGATGTACACGTACGTATGAAATTTTACATTGTAGCGGACTGATTGACTGGAACTGATAAATTTCAAATATACACAGACATCATGATAAGTTTGTGTGTGTTCTGTTAAAATCCAATCTGTTAATTGTTGTAATAAAATTATTCAAACTATTGAAGATGCGAATTGTACTTACTTACTTACTTACTTACGCCTGTTACGCCCAATGAAGCATAGGCCGCCCACCAGTTTTCTCCAACCAACTCTGTCCTGGGCTTCTCTCTCCAGTTCTGTCCAATGTTTGTTCATTCCCCTCATATCTTTCTCTATTTCTCGGCGTAATGTATTCTTTGGCCTTCCTCTTTTCCTTTTGCCTTGAGGGTTCCATGTGAGGGCTTGTCTCGTGACGCAGTTAGGTGCTTTTCGTAGTGCGTGTCTTATCCACTTTCACCGCTTCTTCCTGATTTTCTCCTCCACTGGAATCTGGTTTGTTCTCCCCCACAGTTCGGTGTTGCTGATGGTGTCTGGCCAACGAATACGAAGTATTTTGCGTAGACAGCTGTTAATAAACACTTGTATTTTCTGGATGATGGCTTTGGTAGTTCTCCATGTTTCCGCTCCATACAGTAGAACTGTCTTCACATTTGTATTGAGAATCCTGATTTTGGTTTTGGTTGACAGCTGTTTGGAGTTCCAGATATTTTTCAACTGTAGAAATGCAACCCTTGCTTTGCGAATCCGTGCCCTCACATCTGCATCGGATCCACCTTGGTTGTCGATGATGCTGCCCAGATATGTAAAGGTGTTAACGTCCTCCAAGGCATCTCCATCAAGAGTGATTTGGTTGGTGCATGTTGTGTTGCATGGGAGAATTTTGCTTTTTCCTTTATGTATGTTGAGACCTACTGCTGCAGAGGCTGCTGCTACACTGGTCGTCTTCTCTTGCATTTGTTGTTGCGTGTGCGATAGAAGATCCAGGTCATCTGCGAAGTCCAGATCGTCCAGCTGCGTCCTAACTGTCCAGTTTGTTACCGTGCTTCCCTCCAGACGTCGACGTCCTCATAATTCAGTCGATCACCAGGAGAAAGAGAAAAGGTAAGAGTAAGCAACCTTGCCTGACACCGGTCTTCACCTCAAAGGAGTCTGTTAGCTGTCCTTCGTGTACGATTTATGCGAATTGTGCATTTTGAAAATTTAAAATGTTAACTTAAAATTAGCTATAATATTATTCATTGTGAGTTTCAATGTCTTCGGTTGCTAACTATATGAAATGAAAACCTTTTAATCGCATTTACAGTGAATAGTGTTCATTCCTCAACGCCTTTTTGAATATTCTCATACTACTTGTTGGGGATGTTAGATCCAGGTGAAAGATATGTAAGACTCATTATTCAATATTTATTGTATTCTTTAAATCATTATAGATTCAGATGCAAATAACAACATTCATAAAAGCGTCCGTGAAATGATTCGTCGTAGACTTATATCCTGTTGGCTACAATCTACACTATGGAAACAGTAAGTTTATAATATATATAGATTATGTTATCTTAACGCATATTTTGGTCATCTCCCTTCTAATGTTACAGTTACTTTATTCACTCACTATTCATCGGAATATTACAAATATTATATTTTTGTTATCATTTACAAAATAATTTTTACATCACACTAAGTAGACGTAGTGATGGTTCACTAAGTAGAAGCGTATATAGAAAAAATCCCAGTGCTTGCCAATACACTCACTTTTGTAGTTTTACACCTATCCGCTACAAAAGGAATTTGGTTAGATGCCTCACTAACAGAATAAATATGATTTGTTCAATGGATACTGTAAGTCAGGAGCTGGAATTCATCAACGGCTCACTAACCGAGATTGGTTATCCCAGCGCATTCATAAAGAAGTATATGTCTGCCGTAAAAAAGAAGTCGGTGGTTTCGACTGCCCGAAAGAAGCCTTTGTTTATGAAGCTACAATTCAACGGGGATGTGGCCTGCGATACTCTGCAGGACAGATTAATAAGAGTAATTAGTAGAACATTCAACGCTGCCAAACTTGCATTGACTTTCTCCAGTCGACCAGCGATGTCTACCCAAACGAAGGATAAGTTACCTGAGTTGGCCTCCTCTATGTGCATTTACAAATTCAGCTGCTCCTGTGGAGATAGCTATATCGGGCGTACTTCCAGGCAACTTACACAACGAATGAGTGGACATCTCCCAGCATGGTTTACAAAGAGTCAGTCAAAAACAATACGCAGTTCTATCTTAGCACACCTGGTAGATAGTGGTCACATTGTAGATAAATCTAGATCTTTACGTGTGATCTATCGTATACCTCCATTATTTCCTAACGGAGTTCGATCCCGTCTCCTACACATTGCAGAAGCCATAGGAATACATACATTCAACCCTAATTTATGTGTTCAGAAGAAATTCGTGACACCCCTATCTCTTCCGTGGCCGGATATGACATAACTAACGATTGACACTATATATAGTTTTATTGATTTTAATTTTATTATTTTTACACATCTGCTTATTACGTAATGTTTATGTTGCTTTTTGATGATTATTTGAATTCAATTCATACTGACCTACTGACCTACTTTAGCTATCATATTTTATAAATTTTCCTACTACTATCTGTTCAGTTATCTGCCTGCTATCCACTTGTACTTTTGCATTTTTTCATTTCATTGTGACTATCACTCAAATTGCCTTGATTAGTTTAACATTTTCACACATATAAATATTCATGTATATTAGAGAGTATAAAGCTTGATGACGATCTAATCGAAAACAATAATGTTGTTCGCTTATATCTGTGTTGTTCTAATTTTCACAATAGAGAATCTTTAATACAATAATTTTTTTTAAAAAAATGTCATAAGCTCATTTTCTTTCTTTTTTTTGTTTTTTAAATTCTAATTAAATAAACTATCTCTTAAGCTAAATAATTAACAATTTTGTCAACTTAACCTTTATGTATATAAACACAAACATTCTATAGTGATTTGAGTCTTTCTGTGTACCTTCATTATCCTTATTTATATTCTATAGAACAAGAATTAATTAATATGCAAATGTTATTAGAGTTAACTGATTGACAACACTTTAATTCATATTCAATGAAAGGTCAATATATATATATATATATATATATATATATATATATATATATATATATATATATATACTAGAAACTATTCAAAAGAAATAATTCTAAAAAAATATCATACAACGTAATTTGAAAAAAAAAAGTTAAATTAGAAAAAGACATACATTGTGAAATGGAATGAATTTGTCACTACTAGTTTGAATTGATTTTACAACGTTCATATTTCAATTTTCATGATCATTGACTTTTTTAGCTGAAGAGTTTTTTATGTTATTTTTTTGAATAGAAAATTCTGTTCAAAAGGATTCTACTATATATATCCAATACTTTGTGTGTAATTAACAATCAAGTTTAAATTGATTGTAAAACTAAATAGCATTGTGAAGATTGTTGTTAAGTTACACATTTTTGAAACCATGATCATGATAACAATCTTCACAACGCCGTAATGCAAATTACCTGTGCTCACTAGTGACTAGCTTCGTGAGGAATCTTCTCCGAGTTCTAGTGGGAAGACGTGAGACCAGTCAAGTTCAACCTGTTCGGGTGTAGACAGTAACTACTACCGAAGACTGTATATGAAGTTGCGCAACTCTGTGAATTGATCAAGTTAGACATTAACACCGTTAGATACCGGCTCAGTGGTCCGATGGTTAGGCGTTCGCATACAATACCGAAGGTCCCGGTTTCGAATCCCGCGGGGTGCAGGAGTCATGGATACGCACTGCTGAGGAGTCCCATGCCAGGACGAAACGGCCGTTCAGTGCTTCCATGTTTCTAATGTTGGTCTAACATTGATCGATTCACGGTTTCAAAAATGTGTAAAGTAAATAACCTAAAAACTAATTTCTTCCAGTCACCCTGTGACACTTGACCATTTTTAATTCTTCTAAATCTATTGAATATTAAAAAAAGTCTAATTCTTTTTGAGTCTCTATCAAGAAATCTTTCGTACAAATTGAACTTTACATTTTGTGTTAGCCGGCCACGAATAAAATCAGAGTTGTGAATAATTAGTTTGGTGCAGAAACGTTTCATCAAAATATTATTTCATAAACCATACCGTACACAAGCCCAGAACAAATTACTTATCAGCTGACTATTGACTTTCCTATCGAATCATCAATGAATGGAACTCTCATTACACCTCAACATGAGTTTGATGTCCCATCTGTCGACACATTCAAGGGAAAGTTGAATCAACTGATCAATAAAAATTGCTAGGACTAACACAGGTCATCCAGCCTGTTGTCTATTCCAAACTAAAACTGAATTATGTTCTACCATAACGTCCAAGTTCATATATTTGCACTCAACATACTGTTTGAAAATTGTTAACATTACGGATTTCTTAAACATATCAGTGCATCTTTCATTGAGTAGTTATTCCTCTTAAAATCATCTCATACAATTAATTAAATCAACCTAGAAAGTTTAAAATATATCGTTTGAACATAAATTACTTTGGCAAATTTTATTTTTTAATTTAATATATGTATGTATACATTTTTTGTACTTTTAACATTAGGATCTATGTAACACATCTATGTTTTTTTTTAAGCCAAAAAAAGTCGATAAGGAGGCACTAACCAATCATAGCAAAGTGACCTTCACATTCATCATACTTTTAATGAACAGGTTTTAATTAAAATAATGTTGTGTGTGAAGCCTCTTGAAAAACTATGCAATGTTCAGCCTTTTTTACTTTCGTTAGAGAATAATAATTAGTACGTTTTAATAATAGAACACTAAGATGAATGTGAAATATGTTTCTGAATGTGTTTAATAACACGTAAAAGTGGTTTCAGAAATGGTTGTTTAAAAAAATTCACTATAGCAAATTCTTACAGAACTAATTTATTGATATGCTTATTAGTATGTTAATTAAAAATGATACAATTTGAATATGTTGTGTGTTGTGTAATCATGAATATCATCTACTTGGTATATTTGTTAGCTGTTCTGTAAGGAGGGCTATATGAGGTTTATCGTTGTGAATTCTCAGTTTGTGTCATATTTCATGACAATAACCACATTCTCAGCACAACCTGTTCACTTGAGAAGGAAACTTGCTGCTATGTACCTAAAACTTTTATTTATATATATATTCAAACATACATTTACTGTTACAAAGGTGCACTTAAATATTAATACGCTACACAAATCATTCAGTTTCTATATGGATTGGAATCCTATTCGGATTCCCAATGAAAAGTAGGTTATATTCTCAGTCGGTCACTGAAGCCTTTGATCTACAGGCCTAATCCACAAGGCAATGGAACAGCATTGAGAGATGCATTCCTACGGTAACCGATGACCGATCATAGATTCATACTTCATCTGCTTCCTGAGGATCCCGGATCCCATGTTTGGTTTGGTATCATACATTTCAACTCCTAGGTGGATCCTCCGTACCCACTCTTCTGGTTTAAGCACTGGACGTTCGCTTTTCATCCTCTGAATTTCATAAACAATAATTGTGCCACGAGAAGGCAATGTGTAAGACTTCTTTGCAGTGATTATATTCATGTATCTATATGAGAGCATATGAAGAGAGAGAGAGAGAGCGGTTTCTCCCCACTCTCAGTCGTACCACGGTATCTAATGACTTCATGTACTAAAGTTACAACACTGTTTATACAACACTACCTATAGCATATCAAAGCACACTCCGAATAAGTATACGTTATTAAATGAGAAAGAAAATAATGCACTAAGGTATTACTAACCACTGTAAACGTTTCAACCCTATAATCATATGCTGTATGAGCCATACAGAACACTTTACACATTGAATGAAGTATGCTATCTATGTATTTCAAGTTGATCAATTAATCATTGTTAATTGTAAACAATCTCGAAAAAAAGTTATTTACATCCTGTTCAATCTTCAAACTTATCAGAGTTGCATGTAATTACAGCAATATAATTATCGTTTATGTTCAGTAGTCTAGAATAGATGTTTGCTACATGTTTTCTAGCAATTGATACTTGGTTCGAGTCTCGAAGTGAACACCTATTTTGCGGTGCAGCTGACTGCTTCTAAATAGGACGAAACACGCGTCCCAGATTCCACTGCTAGCCACATGCTATCTTTTCTACATAAACTTGCATCATATCATAGTGGCTATTTTGAGACAATCCACAATGGAAGCCCATACGTCAACAAAGACTGATCTAATTTCAGTCAAAATATCAACAACAGAATAATACAAACCATTTCAAATTGAATTTGTCATCAAAGTCATACTTTGGTGCGCTTAGCGTAACCGACTATTAAGCAATTTAACAAAGTCATTATATATCAACCTTAGATTTAATTTTTATTATCATGTATTTCTCCTGTGTTAGACCACCATTAGAAACCTGGAAGCACTGGACGGCCGTTTCGTCCTGGTATGGGACTCCTCAGCAGTGCGCATCCACGACTCCTGCACCCCACAGGATTCGAACCCAGGACCTTCGGTATTGTGCGCGAACGCCCAGGACGAAACGGCCGTCCAGTGCTTCCAGGTTTCTAATGGTGGTCTAACATTGATCGATTCATGGTTTCAAAAATGTGTAACTTAACAATCTTCACAACCCCGTAATGCAAATTTCTCCTGTGTATTTATTTTTTTATCCTTTCAGATGTAAAATATTTCTAGCAGAATTTAGTAAAACATTTAACAAGAATAAATCATGTAAATCAAAACGGAAGAAATCAAGTGAAAAACAAAAATACAATACAACGACAGTAGCCGCCAGATGTATTGATTATAAGCGACAGAAATCCAAAAAACAAAGTGAACAGTAATGATATTTTGTCTATTTTGAATACTGTGAATATGTTTATATATCATATAAGGTATAACAACACTAGTGGTGTAGTGAAAGAGAACACAGGTGGGGCAAACGAATTGTATTTAACGAAAATTACAGAGTTACTCAGTAAAATCGGAAAACCATATCGTAAATTGTTCATTTGCAAAATATCAGTTCATCCTATGGAACTGGACTGTTCCTGTTGCCAAACATCAATCGATTGTCACTATTCATGCGTTTCATACAAATTCCATTGTGTTCTAACTCTTCCTTTCTTGATCTTCCCCCATCTTCTGCTGCCAGACATTACGTTGACACTCACGTCATATAATACTTATAAGTAGCTCGCACCACAGTGGGACTACCTGTAAACTAGATAGTTGAAGAGTGATTCTAGCTGGGGACTAATAGGTTGAATATAGATCGTTTCAAACCAGAAAGATATGTGATGAATACTATTGAGTGACAAGTGTTATTGATTTTTTTCGATTCATCGGAACCCCCTATATATAGTATAAGATTACATAGGCTAATTTGGTAAACCATTAATAAATAGCAGAGGCGAATAGTAGCTAACAATGTGATCCAGGACGTGCATTTTGTCCTACCTGAGACTCGTCAGCCTGGATGTACCTGCATGCCAGAGTTGGTGTTCAGTTCGGACTCAGTACTTGGCGCCTTAAACTCCATCACGTTATGTACTACTGAGCTACTGAGTTCAGTTAGTCACTCGTTTATTCAATAGTATAGTATCGAAAAGGATTATTCGAAAGATATACATCATGGGTTAAAAGCAAATCCCTCTATTCGAAACATATCAAATTCTTGTGTGGTCTAAGCTCTGAATTCAGAGAAGTATGTGTATACCTGTCCATTTACATGGGTATATATATATATGCACTTGAAGAGAGAAAGCTAATATTTCCTGTTCAATAAGAACTAAACATTACATTTATACTTTCATTAAAAACCGCAAATCTATTCATTTAGACCATTCCTTGGCTTCTGTTTAAAAAAAATGGCTTGAAACAAGTTGAGTGTATGATTTATCAGATATTGTTATCGGAATGACCTCTAATCTGCATGCTAACAAGAACGTTACCTATTGTTTTTTAACAAAGTGAGTTTGGTATGAAGCCCATGTGATTACGGTTGGAATAGAGGCTGTCCTCTGATACGGTTTGACACAATAGTCTTTAAGTAAATACTCACTTCTTTATTAATTTGACCACAAGATTTCACTACTAACGGGGTTTTTATTTTGCTTCACGTTCATCGTAAGACATTCAGCTTACGTCATTCTGTTGCACTAGCTCCTTCACTATGTATTCTCATTCCATTCCAATTGGAATAAAGAATAAATTCTTTATATATTATTGATCAGATTATGAGAAACTCTTAGTCAAAAGACTAAATTTTTGCAATGCATAATTTTGACTTTAAACATAAAAATTCGTAAATACTGTTTGTGGAACTCTAGTAAAACAAAAATTCTCGATCTGTCATTCACTAACTAACTACTCATATATATTTGTGGTGGCCAATTTTGACGGCGGGATCACCACTTGTAGTGTGTCGATTTACTGCGTGTTCTTAAGCTCGGTAATTAGCTCGTCTAGACAATCGTTACTAACTAGCCTCCGACGGTTTATAAATCAGAAGGTGAACTCGTAGTGCTGAATACGTCTATTTGGGACACACCACAAAGCGAAGCGGATAAGCAGTAAATAAAAGGGATGAAGCGACGTGAATTGCAAGAGGCTGTTTAGCCAACTTCTAGGATTACAGTGCGAATGAATGGGCGAAGGGAGTGAATGAATAGGCGAAGCGCGTTGGAGAAGGCTGTTGAGCCAATTCAAAGAGATAGAGCATGACTAAGAATATATAGTCAGACAAATATAAGACAGACAATGCTACAAGCGGAATAGGCACACACATGAATAAAAGCGACGAATGATTGACAAGGTCAAATGACAATTGGGACATGTCATGTGAGCTCATACAAACCAGACGATAATAATAAGAACGAATGGTACATATAAATTGTTGCAATACAAATAATGGCTTGGTTAAATAAATTAATCGAAAGGGCTTAACCAAGTTAGATGTAAGCGAACTGGAATATATGTGGAGGCACTATATATTCATAATAATAATAATAATTCTCTTTAAACAACGTTTTTTATCAATGAATATTTCCACATCAAATATGTGCAATAAATTCAGCATATTCCAAAAAAAATTAGTCTAACCACATGTGTAGTTCCTTCTTATTCTTCTTTTATTTTGCCGCATTTCATTTATTGCCTTAGATATGATTGTGAATTCATACAACCCGGGAACTATTTATTAACAATCAATAAAGATATTGAAAAATTTGATGAATTATGGGCATTGAGTCGATCTTCCAATATAACTGACATTAATCATCCTGCTGTTGCTGCTGCTAATGATGATGATGGTGATGACGATGACGATGTTATTCATTGTTCCAATGTCAATTATTTGACCAATGAAAATCAATTAGCAACATTTAAACAAACAACTGATTTTCAACTGGATAAATCTTATTCTACACAAGAGAATAATGTTGATAATAATAGTAATAATAATAATAATAGTAAAATTGTAAAAAGTCAAAAATTAATTAGCTATTATTCTTGTAAATGCAATAAACAATTATCCAATTATCAACGATGCCCAACTACATTCTGTCAACAATTACTGACACTGAATTGGCGATCATATTTAAGTATGAAAAGGTAATTACCATGTTTATTCAAAGTTTGCTTTTGTTGTTGTCGATTGATCTTATCTATGTTTGTTTTGTTTGTTTGGTTTTTGCTAACTCTATCGACAATGTTTCAGTTAGGAAGAATTTGATTGTGACTAGTTTGAACTTGTCTACTGTTACACGACAATGTCTCATTTCTCATTGTACCGATCAAATAAGCATCAGTGCATCAAAGACAGTTTAACTAACTTATTATTCATTGAAGATACTTAAAGATACTAACGTTATCTCAGCGATTGAAATCTTAAATAATGCCAACATTTTGGCCAACTATCTTGTCTGGACTTCTTCAGGGTAATAATAATAATCAACATCAAAATTTATCAAGGAACACATAACGTTTAACAATCAAATTAAGTTTTCTGATGTTGATTTTAATAGGTAGGATAACATAAGTTTATTGAGATGTGAAACGTGGTAAAAATAAATAAATATGTACAAATGTGTCTTTCACTCATAACATTATTTTCGCCCATTTAGATTGTGTGTATGGCTAGATAAGTAACCTATATGATTACACGAGTTGACTTTTGAACTGAACAACTTCGTATGTACAAACATCAGTTCAGATTGCCATACCACATTAGCACAGAGACGCAACTGTCAGTTCAAATCCCATAGTGGCAGCGATAGTAGATGTATTAGCAGTAATAGAGAAGATTAGGGTTCGAATATATGATTCGAGAAGTATAATTCAGTGAGATAACTTTAGGAACAAAAAGATAGAGGTGTTGACGAATCCAGAAGATTAGGATTTGAGAGAACACAAAGAGTGGATGCACCTGTGTCATTGCAAATGGTTTTGAACCATGTCATTGAATATCTCTAACCACCGGTTACTATCGTCTCGCGGAGCCCAACCAGGTAGTCTACATCTACCAACATGACTCAAGTTGTCCGTGACTTCGTGGTTTTCTTCCATGGTTTGATTTGACTGCTTCTACCTTCCTTCCAACCTACTCATACACCACAAAACATAGCTCGTCGAAGCAGTCAGTCCTTGGGTATAAACTACATTTTAAGCGTAAAACACGATAATACTACTACTAACCGGTACCGTTCCACTCTTTACAGTTTAGTTTCATTGCTTTTCGTTGATTCAATATGTGTATTTTCGCAAATGACATAAAATTAAAAGATTAATTTTAGAATCTTTCTACTACCGCCAACACTATGTGATTTGAACTGACAGTTGCGTCTCTGTGCTGATGTGGTATGGCAATGTGAACTGATGTACGTACGTACGAAGTTCTGCGTTGTATCTGTCTGTCTGTCTGACAATCTTTCTGTTTGTTTTATCATTGGAAATTCTACTAATTTTATTCATTCTTTGTTTTGTATTTTGTTTTTTCTCTATAGATCAGGCAGAACAATATTAGCTCATTTTGTTATACAACTTGTAATTGCCTTATTTTTAGGCATTATCTTTTTAAACTTAAATAAACGGCATGAATCTGGTATTCAGAATCGTATGGGTTTATTTTTTCTCACTTGTTTACATTTATTATTTATTAGTGGAACATTGTTGGAGATATTTTTAAAAGATCGTTCAATTTTTATGTAAGTTTATCTCAGTGAGTTGTTTAATATTAACTATCATTAGTATTATTAACAATAATAATTATTATATCCCGAAAATGCTCGATACCTGTTGCGCCAGCACGTGAACACGTCAACATGGTATACTTGAACTATTGCAAGTTTACCTAGTTGGAAAACGAGAGCGAGGACCGAGGATCCGGCGACACGACATGCTACTCAAATCCGTTTATTTCAACCGCCATATTGAGTGAAAATAAGAAGACTTGAATGTGGAGTAGAACCTGTATTCTACAAGCATCCAGAAAGTACGAGCTCCAAATCCAGAAGATAATCAGGATCTCGGACTAGGGATCTGGGAATGGGTCCTGGTCATAAACCGTTACAGATAATGCATATTTATATATTTTGGTAGACTAGGAAACAGCGTCGAAGTCTGTGACATTGACAGTTAAGACGACCTATAGGAAGCAACATTTGAAGCGACATTGATAGTCAGGATAACTAATAAGAAACAACATTGGAGCACGTGACATTGATATCTAGGATGACCATAAAATTGACCAGTAGGAACTAACCAATAGGAATTGACCAATAGTTCTCTTAGGATATCGGATGTATATCCTAACAAAACCGCACATACATATATTCAACAATGAAAGCAACTCTACCTTTAAAATAACTTGATTTCAATTTACACCAAGTTGTTTAGTGCACCTTATGATTTAATGCTATTCCAGACTATTCGATTTGGCATTAAAAATGATCGGATAATTTATTCTGATTGGTTTAATAAGAACATTAAATTGTCCAATAAGATTCATTTGTGTTGAATTTTTCAATCTTCGTGATGATGTTCAAAACTGCAGTTGATCAGTCTTTTTTGACATATGTCCATCGTATGTGGATTGGCTTAATATGGCAATTAAGTCACAAGCGTTCTAAGCAAAAGTGGATAGTGGCCAGTAGTGGAATTCAGGACACACATTTTGTCCGATTTAAGACTCGTCAGTGTGGATGGCACTGGGTTTGATTTTCGGAATGAACACTAACTTTGATATGCAGTTACATCCATCTGACGAGTCCCAAATTTAACGTAGCGCACGTCCTGGATTTGATTGCTGGTCACAATCCATCTGTATTTAATATGATTATTCAAACTATAGGCCAAAAAGAATTAGAACTTATGACAGAAGAATATTTACCTAAACAATTAAGAGACAGACAGACATACAACGCAGAACATCGTACATAAGTACATCAGTTCAGGTTGCCATACCACATCCAGACAGAGACGTAACTGTCAGTTCAAATCCAAGAGTGATAGCAATAATAGAAGTATTAGCAGTAATGAAGAAGATTAGGGAGGGAAGATATGATTCGAGAAGTATAATTCAGTGAGATAAATTTAGAAGGAGTAAGATAGAGATGATGAGGAATTCAGAAGGTTAGAATTAAAAAGCGCACAAAGAGTGGATGCACCTGCGCTATTGCGAACGATTTTGAGCCATGTCGTTCAAGGTCTCTAACCATTGGTGACTTTCGTCTCGCGGACCCCAACCAGGTAGCCTATATCTACCAACATGACTCAATCCACTTGTCAGTGATTTCATGGATTTCTGTCATGTTTTGGTCTGGCTGCCCCTAGCTTTCTTCCAATCTACTCTTACTCCACAAAACATTGCTCGTCGGGGCAGTCGGTGGTTAGCCATACGTAACACATGTCCAAACCACCTCAACTGATGAAGTTTCATTACTTCATCTATTGATCTACCATCCTTACCTAGTACTCGTTTCCTAACGACAGCATTGCTTACTCGGTTGTCCCACGATATACGAGCAATGCTTCTAAGACATCTTTGATCGAATACTAATAACCTAAGAACCTCTACTCTTAACGGCCATGTTTCTCATCCGTATAGTAGGACAGAGCGAACTGCTGCACAGTACACTCGTCCTTTGGTTAGCGAACGGATATCTCGCCTACGCCATAGGTGACGCAGGTTGGCAAAAGCCAGTCGAGCATTCTGTATCCGTGCTGCGATATTGTTAGTCATCAGGACATCAGCACTGATGAGACTCCCCAGATAAGTGAAGCGGTTTACACGTTCGACTACCTCAATACCTATCACTAGTTCAGGTGCCGATGCAACCCAATCTTGAAGCAACATTTTGCGTTTAGACGGGGATGAGTTTTTGAGCATCAATCAGTTCGATGGATGCTACTGAGATCCACGGCTTCATCCTAGGCTAAACAATTATAACAACCAGAAATGTGATCTCTTTAAAAATTAACTTAATTCAAATTCACATTTCAACAACCATCTAAATAAATGAACCGATTATTTCATATCATATTTATGAATAATTCTTTGTTTTTTTTCTTCCAAATAATTAGACATGAAACATCTACTGGATTTTATAGAATTTCAGCATATTTTATATCTAAAATTTTAACTGATGTATTACCGACCAAAATGATACCAGCTTTTTTATGTTTATCTATAACATATTATCTAACTGGTCTACGCTATGAATTATATGCATTTTTATTATGGCAATTAACAATTGCATTGCTGACATTTTCTGCTTCAGCGATAACATTTGCTATCAGTGCCATGGTTAAAGATCAACGAATTGGATCAATATTATTATCAATGTTATTTGTTTTAATGATGGTATGTTGTGAAATTTTTTAATTTCTTTTTTTTTTTGTCCTCATGTGGTAAATTATTAATATAAACTGGGGTTTTTTTTCGCCTTCATTTTAAATGTTTTTTTGAACGAAGAAGTTTTAGTTCTTGTGATTATAAGAGAAAGAACTTTAATAATTATTATAATTATAGGGTTGTGGATTTTGATGAGTCTCATGGGTCGATCAATAATGTTACACTGTCGTTAGAAAACTGGAAGCACTGGACAGCAATTTCGTCCCTAGTATGGGGTCTATCAGCAGTGCTTATTCATAACCCTTGTACACAAGAACCGAACTCAGAACCTTCGGTATCAAACGCAAACGCTTAACCTCTTGACCACTGGGTCGGCATCGAACGGTGTTAATGTCCAACTTCAATTAATCTGCGGTATGGCGTGACTTCATCCATTGTCTTCAATAAGTAAACTACCTCACACCCAACTGGTCACGGCTTCTCACGAGAATTTGGGCTAGCTCATTGGTCTAGAGGTTAACCGTGGGGTCGTGAATGCGTACTACTGATAAGTTCCATACTAAAACGAAACGGCCATCCAATGCTACCAGGTTTCTGTTGATGGTTTCACACTGACTGATTCATGATTTCAATCAATAATTAATTGATCATCACTGATAATATTTATTTTTATCCTTATAAAATATACATATACTAATTATTGATAACTATAAACTTTTCGAAACTATTTTCGAAATGGATACATGATCTCACCAATAAAGAATGTAACCAATATCACTTGAGAAGAAGTACATTGGGATTTGATAGGATGCTCAATATGTTTAAACCGCTTATTTTGCCAACTGTACATTTGTTGTAAATAATCTTTTTATTTTAAATGTGTGTTATTATTGTAGAACGCTTGTAAATGTTTGAAATGGTCAATACTCTCGAATTCAAACAGAAACATTGTATCTGTTGAGATACTTGCTTTAATGTTTATCTTTTGAAAAAAAGAAGAGCTCTGAACATATCCACCTAATTATACAGAATAAAGTAGCTGTAACAACTAATATGATTTTTAAGAAATACCCTGTAGTTGGATGTTCATGCTTACTGACTATTCAAAAGTACTTAGAAAAGATGTTTGAGTACGTGTTGAAAAGAATTCTGTTGTAATAATAAACAATTATTCCTTAGGATCCACTGGTGTAAAGAAATGTATAGTATTGAATAAAGTTTTTGTTGTTAGTATAGGGTTGTGAAGATTGTTGAGCTTCATTGAACTAATCAGTGCTAGACGACTACCAATCAATGGTGGTTCGTTCTAGTATGAGACTTTTCAACAGTACGCATTCACGACCCTGCAAGTGGGAATTGAAACCAAGACATCTGGGCTTGCGCGCAAACGCTTAACCTCTTTACCATCAAGCCAACATCTAACAATGTTAATGTCCAGTTTGAATCGATCTATCATCATTTTAAAAAATTAGATGTCATTTTTACTGATCGAACAGAACTTTATAAAATCTTATTACTGAATTTCGTCTCTCTATCAGCAAAGAACTAAATGGCATTATTTTTAAATTTGTCACCTGTGTATATACTACTGAATAAATTCGAAATAAAAACATCTATGCTTCAGCAAAATTTGAAAACATTGTAATCGCTTGTAGTTACTTATAGTATCGCTACTCAAAAAAGCTGGTGTCATCGATAACGAATGTGTACGTAACGTGATTTTGAAGTAAAACCTGCTGCTCGTCGAGTTTATAGCCCATCAGCTATGTGCTCGCTCGTTTAATTTAGTCATGTCCTCTATCTTTTGTTCATTCAAATTGTCACACTTATTCAAGGCTAACAGATTCGAATCTGTCTTTCGTCTCCTGATTCTCTAATGCGTAAACCTCAAGATTCATCGCCTGTAAATTCCTAGTAATCATGTCAGCTTACTAAATGCCACTATATTTTCAGATTTTGGTATATTATATGAAGCTCTACACAGTAAATTAGATCGTTGAGTGGCCTTTATATGTCGCTACATATTTATAATCTATAAGAGCTATAGGGTTGTTTTGTTTCTTAAGGATCACTTGCGCCAAATAATTGCTTTAGATTAGCATATGATAGAAACTATCCTTTCATTACATCAAGTAAATTGAGTAGATTCTCTGTTAAAAAAGAAAGTTACTTGTGTAGTATAATTTACGCAATAGACTGATATGAATCTTTCAGTCATTGACGCAGCACCGATTACTGCTGAACAGGCGCTTCTTCGGTTATATTTGTTAGGATATTATTCATCAAATATCCTAAGAGAATTATTTTGTTAGTCTAGTTCTATTCGTCAGTTCCTATTGGTCGTCCTAACTATCAATGTCCCATACTTCAAATGTTGTTTCCTATTCGATCTGACTGTATAAATCTGCACTTTCTGTAACGTTTTTTGATCCGGATCCTTGATCCTGGCATCCTTACCCTCTTCTGGACTCGTACCGCCTACTTCCTAGGTGTTTGTCGAATACACTTTCTACTCTATATCAAGTTTTCTGCTTCTACTTAGTGGGTTTCCTGGGACCCTCGGATTAAAATAGCCTGTCATGTCGCCGGATTATCGATCCTCGCTATCGTTTACCGACTAAGGTGAATTCGTAATAGTTCAAGCATATCAATTGACATGGTAAAGCTGTCAATCGTAATAATACTAACTCTGTTTAGTCTGACTAACGCAAACATATATCTATATATATAAATATATATTCTTTATTCATTTCACTGCATCGTTCTTTGTAAGTCCATACTAGTTGTAGTTTCTTAGTCTTTATCATGTTGAAGTCGGTTGTAACATCATCATGTTATATCTGTTTGTGTCCTTGGTTTAAGAATATTGTGATTCATCTCTTTTATTTTATAGTTTATACTAAACATATTCACTTTACAGTCTATTTACAACACATTCTTTATCATTATTCAAATTGATATCTTCTAAACAGGTTCAACCTGATGAACACTGGATCGATTCATTGATGCTAATCAATGAATTCATCTTTTCATTATTTACTTATTATTAATCTAAGTTTGTGTATCACAAAAAAAATTCATCTACTACTCATTTATTTCTCATCATTTTCTATTTTTTTTTAAATAGTTAGTTTAGTATTTTGTACTTAGAATATTACTTATTAAATTATTATTTCACTATTGTGATTGATATTCATATCACATTATTATTATTACATAAAGTTCACATTTGATGCTGTTTATTTTTTCTTGTTCTACTCATTTTTTCATTCTTTCTTTAATAAATTTACTTTTTTTTATAGATAACAAGTGGTTATTTAGTAAATATTACAACTTTGTGGAAATGGCTTCAATTAATTCGTTATATTTCAATTTTACGTTATGCTATAAATATATTAACAATAAATGAACTATATAATATGACATTTTGTCCTCATACAACTACACTATCTGATATAACAAATCTAACATCATCATCATCATCATCATCATTATTTATAAATGAACAAAAAAATATGGAATATTATCAAACAGGAATTGGCGAAATTTCAAATTTCGAATCTATTTGGTAATTAATTCTGTTTTATTTGCTTATTTTTTTTTTCATGGATCATATTTTTTTAACAAATAAGTTGAAAGTTGCATCAACTTCAGTAACGTCAGGTGAGATATGCGTTTACTTACCAAAGGATAAGTGTTCTGTGCAGCAGTTCGCTCCGTCCTACTATATGGATGCAAAACATGACCGATGAGAGTAAAGGGCATTCTTAGTTTGTTAGTATTCATTTATTGATGTCTTCGGATGATTGCTCGTATATTCTGGGACAACCGAGTAAGCAATGCTATAGTTAGGAAACGAGTAGTAGATAAGGGTGGCAGACCAAATGAGGTTGGTTGGGACATGTGTTACGAATGCCTAACCACCGACTGCCTCGTCGATCTATGTTTTGTGGTGCAAGAGTAGGGTGGAAGAAAGTTAGTGGCGGCCAAACAAAAACATGGCACAAATCCATGAAGTCACTGACAAGTGGACTGGGTCATGTTTGTAGATGTAGGCTACCTGGTTGGGATCCGCGAGACGAAAGTCACCAGTGGTTGGCGACCTTGAACGACATGGTTCAAAATCGTTTGCAATGGCGCAGGTGAATCCACTCTTTGTGTTCTCTCTAATTCTAACCTTCTGAATCCCTCATAATCTCTATCTTTCTCCTTACAAATTTATCTCACTGAATTATACTTCTCGAATCATATCTTCGAACCCTAATCTTCTGCATTGCTGCTAATAATTCTACTATCGCTATCACTCTTGGATTTGAACTGACAGTTACGTCTCTGTGCTAATGTGGTAGGGCAACCTGAACTGATGTACTTATGTACGAAGTTCTGCGTTGTATCTGTCTGTCTGTCTCTTATTTGTTTAGGTAAATATTCTTCTGTCATAAGTTCTGATTATTTTTGGCATATAGTTTGAATAATCATATTAAATATAGATGGATTGTGACCAGCAATCAAATCCAAGACGTGCGTTTCATTTAAATTGGGACTCCTCTGAAATTCTAACCTTCTGAATTCCTCACTATCTCTGTCTTTAACTTTCTAAATTTATCTCATTGAATTATACTTTTCGAATCATATCTTCGTAATTTAATCTTGTAAAATACTGCTAATACTTCTACTTTCTCTACCACAATGTGATTTGAACTGATAGTTACGTCTCTGTATTGACATGGTATGGCAACATATGAACTTATGTACTCATTTATGAAGTCCTACGTTGTAAATGACTAACTGATTGAGTGATGAGTGGGTAACATCAGTGTACTGATCATATCTTCTTAACAATGGACAATCTTCTGACATGTCTCACCTACAATTCAAACAAAATGTCTGTCAATCTATCATACAGCTTACTGTATTGTCATATGATTGTTTAACCGATAAAACAACATAATAAGATTAAAGATCTGCTCTAAGCTATACTTTTATGCAACACAATTTCAAAAGGAAACACATTACTGCTGTCACACCCCTCTACAGCCTGCAGTACGACTTCGCCCTTAGACCTTGAGTAGCTGCTTTTAGTCTCATCATTCTCCAATCGATCTGCCTGGCATGATAGAACTTACAGGAACATATGTTCCAGCCAATATAGCTTGGTTTGGTTATCACGATAGGCAAGCCCGACCACCACATCAAGCTAGCAGCTTCGGTCGGGTAGGTGTCATTAAACAACAAAGTTAAAAAATTACTAGATTCCTTAGATTTACAACAGAAATTGTTTTATGTAAAAAATAAATATGTATTTAATAGATTCGTTGTACAAAATTAAAAGTAATTATTGAAATTATCAAAATAAAAAAAATTCAACCCTTTATACAAAAATAATCATATCATATCATATATAGAAGAAACGAAAGACATGCTGTGCTAAAATATGAAGAAAAAAATTTCAAAATACCCAGACCGAAATTCAATAACACAGGTAAAACCACATACTAATCAGTATTAGTATAAGGGATTTGTGTAGATTATAACATTTTCACAATTGAAATTGTGAACTAATCCTAGCTAGATCACCATTGAAAACTTGAACGACCATTTTGTTCTAGTATAAAAAGAAGAAGTCAATAACAACTGAATATTTCGAAAAATGAGTTAGGATGTTAACTATCTATATATATATATATATATATATATTTCTTCAAATTAAATTGAACATTATCATTAAAAATTCAATGAGATTTTCTACTGCTTGTATACACTTTCTTAACAGTAAATAATCTTCATCAATTCAGATAATACTCATATTTTTTACTATTTAATTATCGCTTTTATTTAGTATTACCGGTGTACAATATTTAGAATCACAAGCAATTGAATATCAATCAAAATGGTCAATATGGTTCAATGAATTGGGTATATTAGTGATTGCAATTATAGCTTTGTGTATAGCTTATATACATTTACGATTAATGAAACGATATAAATGAAGCAATAGAATAATTAATCAATGTATTTTTTTTGTAATGACGGTTTAGTGTGTGACAGAATAATTTAGACTAGTTATTTTATTTTATTTTTTTCAAAAAAATTAATTAAAGGTTCTCTGTTTTTTGTTTTATTATTCTCAACAAATATATCATTAATTTTCTTTATATGAAAAAATGAAGATTGTCTTTCATGCAACCATTTTCTGTGTGTTTTATATTAACTAACTTATATATTACCTTAAAAGTGAACATTTTGTCTGTGCAGAAATTTACCTCTGCTTATTTTTTTGAACATGAGGGCATATACTTTGTGTTTTTTTACTTATCTCCAAAGTATACTACTACTACTTCTAGTGGTAGTAGTAGTAATAGTAATAATATTTTGTTTTTTTTTTCATATTTTAGCACAGCATGTCTTTCGTTTCTTCTATACATGATATGATATGATTATTTTTGTATAAAGGGTTGAATTTTTTTTTATTTTGATAATTTCAATAATTATTTTTAATTTTGTACAACGAATATATCAAATACATATTTATTTTTTACATAAAACAATTTTCTGTTATAAATCATAAGTGTAGTATATCTAAGGAATCTAGTAATTTTTTTAACTTTGTTGTTTAATGACACCTAGCCTGACCGAAGCAGCTAGCTTGATATGGTGGTCGGGCTTGCCTATCGTGATGACCCAACCAAGCTATATTGGCTGGAACATATGTTCCTGAAGGTTCTACCATGCCAGGCAGGTCGGTTGGAGAATGATGAGACTAAAAGCAGCTACTCAAGGTCTAAGGGCGAAGTCGTACTGCTGGCTGTAGAGGGGTGTGACAGTAGTAATGTGTTTCCTTCGGACAACCAGCATTTGCAGCGATACTGCTGCCTTCTCACAATGAAGGAATGGTCAGAAAAGGTCGACCATAAAAAAATGTCACACCTCACCCTACCTCACGGATTTCCGTCTCCTTGGGTAAGGGTGCCCACTTAGGGCTTTCAAGAGCTGAGCTAAGACTCAAAAAACCCTTCATAAAATGGCCGTGCGTGACCGGCCTTAAGCAGTTTTCCCTTAGGACTCTGCGGTCACGCACCCAGGTCTCTAGGACCAACACTAATCTACCTTCCTTTTGCAGGTCCCTCAAGAAACAACCTTCCACGGTGTGGGCAGCCGGGAAGTGACAACCGCCGTCATACCTGTAACAGCACACGAAACCAAATTAGTCAAAATCAAATCCTTCCTACACCCCCTAATACCTCTCTTATATCCGCGACTAACTCTTCTCACATTCCTTTATCTCCCTGCACCTCTTCTGCAAACGATGCGAGTCCACGAAAAGTTATTCCTGGCCTCCTGAAATCCCGTTCTAGACTGAATATTGGAGCATTTAATGTACGGACATTGTGTCTAATAGGGCAACAGCTCAGAGAACAGACAATGGCGACCGTCTGTTGCAACTGTGCTCAGATAACCAACTATTTCTAGCAAACACTAATTTTAAGCATAAGGAAAAACATTTTTTGACCTGGCGACCCCCGAAGTCGTCTCAACGTTGGACGCAACTAGATCACACCGCCATCAGCCACCAATGGAGGGGTTCAATAGAAGACTGTCGCCCGTTCTGGGGCACATGTTTAGATTCAGATCATGCCCTTGTGCAAGCTCGTATCTGTTTGAGGCTTACTGGACGTAGGAAAGACACCGTAAGAAAGCATCTTAGGGCTTTACTTGATGATAATCAAGCTAAGAAAATATTTCAGGAGGAACTAGAAAGACAGTTAGGCGACCATGTAGAAAGGGAGTTAGGCACCATATAAGCGGTTCCAATCCGGAGGCAGGTTGGAATGATATCAAGAAGGCTGTGGAAACAGCAGTGATATCTGCTAGTATGGTAAACCATAAGGCTAGAATGAAGCCGTGGATCTCTGTAGCATCCACCGAACTGATAGATGCTCGAAAACTCATCCCACCTGGCTGTGAACATGATGAAGAACGAAGTCAGCTTAGGCGCAGGCTATCTATCAACGACCGAGAACAGTGGTGGGTGGCAAAAGCGATAGAAAAGGCAGCGGTGATCGGCAACAGTAGGCAACTATTTAGACTTATCAAGGAAACTGGTATTAGCAACCCAGATGTGAGTGAGACTATTTCGGAAAATGATGGGAATATTATTTATTCTCAATATAGGAGACTGGATCGATGGGCAGAACACTTGAGGGATCAGTTCAACTGGCCTCCAGCCGCACTTCGGTTACTGACGATCTCCAGTCAAGTCGACGTAAGCCCTCCGAACCGTTATGAAGTTGAAAAGGCTATAGGAAGTCTGAAGCGAGAGAGAGCAGCAGGTCCTGATAGGCTTATCCCTAAGATATTTAAGGATGGTGGTCCAGTTTTAGCAGATAGATTGACTGAAATCTTAGGTAGAATCTGGGAACTGGACATAATCCCATCCGACTGGTCTCAGTCGCTAATTATCCCAATCTATAAGAAAGGACAAAAGTCTTCTTGTGACAATCACAGAGGAATAAGTCTAACTAATATAGTATCTAAAATATTGGCCTCAATAATACTTCGACGCTTGACGAAAACTCATGAAGAGCAGACTAGAGAAAACTAGGGTGGTTTTCGACCCGGACGTGGCTGTATAGACCACATTTTTACACTAAGGCAGATCCTGGAACACAGACACACATTTAGGCGTCCTACAATAGTTGTTTCCTTGGACCTTAAGGCGGCATTTGACTCAGTGGATCGTGAGGTTCTGTGGCAGTGTCTGTCATTGAAAGGTGTACCAAATAAGTACATTAACCTCATACAAGCTCTCTACTCGAACACCACTGGTGTCAGAGACATGCTGACAGATGCAACCTTATCCTCGTCTGAATTTTCAGGAGTCGACTTTCTACCAGGAAAATCGCTTACTGGCCTAGAGTATGCCGATGACATAGTTCTATTCGGTGAAGACGCTGACAAAATGCAGTCTTCTGACTACCGTAAGCATAAATGCGAGCATGTTCGGGATGCGGATTTCCCCCTCGAAATGCAAAATGTTGCTTCAGGATTGGGTTGCATCGGCACCTGAACTAGTGATAGGTAGTGAAGTAGTCGAACGTGTAGACCACCTCACTTATCTGGGGAATCTCATCAGTGCTGATGGCCTGGTGACCGACGATATCTCACAAGGATACAGAAGTCTCGGTTGGCTTTTGCCAACCTGCGTCACCTATGGTGCAGGCGAGACATCTGCTTACTAACCAAAGGACGAGTGTACCGCGCAGCAGTTCGCTCAGTTCTCCTATATGGATGCGAAACATGGCCTTTAAGAGTAGGGGACTTTCGTAGGTTACTAGTATTCGATCATAGATGTTTAAGAAGCATTGCTCGTATATCGTGGGACAACCGAGTAAGCAATGCTGTAGTTAGGAAAGGGGTGCTAGGTAAGGATGGCAGGTCAATAGATGAAGTGGTGAAACTTCATCAGTTGAGGTGGTTGCGACATGTGTTACGTATGCCCGACTGCCGCGACGAGCTATGTTTTGCAGTGTAGGAATAGGTTGGAAGAAAGCTAGGGGCGGCCAGACTAAAACATGGCAGAAATCCATGAAGTCCCTGACAAGTGGACTGAGTCATGTTGGTAGATGTAGACTACCTGGTTGGGGTCCGCGAGACGAAAGTTACCAGTGGTTAGAGACCTTGAACGACGTGGCTCAAAATCGTTTGCAGTGGCACAAGTGCATTCACTTTTTGTATTCTCTCAAATTCTAATCTTCTGAATTCGTCATCACCTCCATCTCCCTGTTTCTAAATTCATTTCACTGAACTATACTTCATTAATAGTTGCTTTGAACCCTAATCTTCTCCATTACCGCTAATACTTCTATCTCTACCGCTATGGGATTTGAATTGACAGTTTCGTCTCTGTGCTAGTGTGGTATGGCAACCTTAACTTATGTACTCATGTACGTAGTTCTACGTTGTAACAGACTGACTGAACCAAGTAATTGTATAATTTTTAGTGTGTTCGTAACAAAATATTCATATAAATAGATGTATTTGGTTAGTAAATGGTTGGTTTTTTCATTTGTAATGATACCACTAAATGGCAGGTGGCCCTTCTCATTACACCGTTTATTAGACCTGGTTACCGTATAACAATGTCTTGACCAGATAATTATCGAAATGTCCTACAGCTTTATTGTTGGAGAAAAGATACTCCCCCAGAAGCTGTTGCTGCAGGATTTCTCGAAATCGACCTTCACCTTCCACTTAGTAGACGATTTATTGAGTCAACAAATACTCCTAATATTGAATGTCAGTAAATATGTCTAATCTCACTGAGTTCTACGTTTAAGATCTGTAGCTAGGCTATGAATAGTTTAGATACTTTGTCAAAGTGACTGCTTAGCAAAACCAGTGGAGCTCTAGTAATGAGCCTTGAAGAGGTTTGTGTAGTTGTTATGGTATACACCTCAATGACGGGCAACACTAAGAAATTACCCGATTGAAAGTCAAAGTCCCCTCCAAGTGGAAAACAGTGGTCTATCTTATTTAGTTATTTACTAGACTCTGGGAGGACTACTGATGCTAAGTGGCGTCCTTAACTGGAGAAGGTAGGGAGGCACCTAACCCTGTGACTTTGTCAGTCAGTTGATACGTAGAACTTGGTACGTACGATCATCAGTTCAAGTTGTCATACCACGTTAGAAATTTAGTAGGGTTTCCTAAGGTTTTTGTGTTGCCCAGTACCATTTCGGCACGAGGTAGATACTAATATTTAGACGTATTACTTAAACAGGTTTTTTAGTACTTATCAGAATAAATAATTTCAATCCTGATGTAAACTATCTCTTGGACTTGAATGAAGATCTCATATAGGTAGATAACTATGAATTGACAGCACTTGTACTAAAAAATTTATTTGTAAAATATTCAGTAGCATTTCATTTCAGAATAAAAAACAAACTGTTTGGGAGTGTTACGAAATATTATGCAGAATATTAAGAAGTACATAAAACAGAAAATTAGAAAGACTTGTCAGTATTTCATAGACAGTATAGAGAGTAGGGAAATGAATGTTTTACGAATGAATTTCACATGGGGCTTCGTCGAACACAATTCAAATTACAGTGAACAGGTTGTTGCACTTCGATCACTAGGATTCATGATTTCTTCTGGAATGTTTTTGAAGGATTGCAAAATCTGAGTAATCGGGGGTCGGTCTTGAGGATCAGATGCCAGCATTGGTTTCAATAATTTTATTAACTCTGATGGGACACTGCAATATTGAATGATAAAAATGAATTTTTCATTAAGTAGTAACATTACATGACGGTAACAACGTTAAAATTGCATTGAATCACTTTTAAATACCAAACGTTAGCTGATGACCTAGGATTAAACATGAAAGTCTGCGCTTAATTTTTATTGATTAACCATTGAACAGAGACCTATCTTTAAGTGTAAATCGAATTCTACCGATCGAGCTTCAACTTATTCACTAATTTAACTGACACGACATCGAGTGTACAACATTTTGATATTAGACGGTCGAAAGTAATCAGAAGGAAACCTGCTAAATAAGATGGAAAATTATGAACAAAAAGATATTATTCATTTATATTTCTAATCTAACAATTTTTAATGCTAAGATCGGGTTAAAAAATCATTCTTTAAAATAAAGCTTAAAATTACATACTTAGTATATTTTCACAACTAAAAAACACTTACTTTGAACATGAATTTACTGGAAAGGGTATATTAGCTGAACAAGCAGCAAGAGCAACGCTGTCACCCCGAGCATGAACGAAATCCATTGGGGATTTGGAGAAAATCAAGGCATAAAACAGACATCCTAGTGACTAAATTAAGTATTCAGGCGTAAGAAAGTGCTTACCCAAACATCAGCTCTCTCGGTTATGGTTTCCTGAGTTATTGGGTTAAACAACTCTGGAGCCCGGTAAGTTAGTGAACAGTTTTCCTCAGCAAACTCCTTGAAAAGCAGCATGTAACAACGAAAATTTTACCTTCCATTTTTCTGCATCTCTATTGTTCTCAATACGAAGAATGGCAGGAGTAACAGAACCGAAATCCATCAAGACTGGTCTCATGTCTTCAAATAAAAGTATATTTCCAGGTTTTATATCGCTATAGAGAAAAACGTCTCAAAATACAAGCGTTTTACCGGTGAGACATTGGGATATCAAGGGAAAGGAGGGCGATAAGGCCTTCACAAATACCGATCATGATGGTCTTTATAATGTAAGGAGGAAATACAGTGTTACATGCAGATCTATGATCAATTTCCCTTTGCAATGTACCTCGCTGTAATACTTCACATGACATAGATTAGAACAAACCTTGCTATAAGATAATACTAAAAGAACTTCTGATATAGCTCCTTGCTCATGCCTAGAGACATGTTGCAGGCCACTCGCTATACAAGGAAGCAAGTTGGGATGATCAGGGAGATTCATTTGAAAATTAGCTTCTTTTAACGCCTTATTTTCATCATCCTTTGAGTGACATGAGATACGTTTTAGGGCGAATGATCTTTTAGATGTTTTGTCAAAAATGAGGTCTATTCGGCTAAATCCACTAAAAGCTCCCAGCATAGAGAGACTTTATAAACATACCCAGTATCTAACTTATCCCGCACGTAGAACGTTCTCCAATGTCCTAATGCATCTTTAACTCGAACAACCTCATTACATGGGTCGAAACAACCCAGGAGAGAAAAGCTTCTTAGAACCATACATTAACGTCAAATTCCAGTCACTAAAAGTTAAGTGAAAAAAAGTGTGGTGTGAGAAATATTTGCAACTAGGTCTCCTCGATCTCAAAAACTACACAACAGATCCTTCTCTTCTTGTATGAATTAGATTGGATTGTTTGCTTAGATAATAAAGGCTGAAATAAAACATCTCTAGTAGAAGTACAGTAGAACGCCGATCTTTGGCGGGCAGTTAAATCAGGAAATGCTGCTAAGTTATAGAGGTTACCTATTGATTTTATTTAAACACAAACATTAGTACAAATGGACACCTGAATATTTATACGCCACTTAAACTACTGAATTTATGAGTGGGCTTGGAAACTGCTCACCGTGAACAGCAGTTTTGGCGATAGAATGCTCTTGAATTTCACTAAGCATTAGGCTACATTTAAAATGGTAATCAGCACTAGTACCAACATGATGCAAGTATGTTTGTATTTTAACTTATACACCATCTCATATTCACTTTCTGGCTGCATAAATAGAATTCTCATTCACTTTAAAAATATTTGGGACAAAATATGGTCTATTTTAGCCTTGTAAATGATAACATACAAGCTACTCAGAAGAAATAAAAGTCTTTTCAGAGAGGCCTGTTTTGTAACCTATGCGACCTTGACTTCATATGCAGCGGTGATTACGTATTACAATTGCTGTAAGTTGGCCAGATATTCATGGATGGAGTTGTTTTAAGTGTTCCTAAATCAAGGTAGCTTCACTCTGAACTTAAAAAACAAAATAATTCCAGACAGAATCAACCCATATTACTCCAGCTGGTAGTCTACACTTGGGTATTGTTTATGGTGCATTGTGTAGATGAGATATGTCGACGTAAGCGATTCGTTTCACCCTATAACACTAGCCAGGTCTTTCCAAGGCTTGGCTGTATACGAAAAATAAAAATCTTACTGGGCCTATATTCATATTCTTATCGGGTCATTTTTATCAACCTTTGAGTGTTAGCATGCACGGTTAGATCGGTGTTGATTGATTTCTTCAGGCTCACAATGACGACAATGATTGTCGACTTTACACCAATTTCTATTATTTATTTCAATCTTTTACGATTTTTTATGCGATTCGCAACTTCTGACTACGAATGCTCTATTCAGTGAAGCCTTGATAACTTCATCGTGATGAGCAGTTGTGGAGCAGTATAATGACCTGCTGCCACAGTTCTATCACACTGTGAAAACATACTGATAAACACTATTCCATTACAAATACAATCAGTGATGATATACAACACAGCCAGATTAGAACATTTTTTTTCGAAATGTTGATCATCTATAAAATAAATCTTCGAACACCTTTATTCTAAACTCCAGGTTTGTCTGGGTTCGGGTTCTTCGATTGCAAGAGTGTTACGGAAAGCTACGTTGTCAGGCACTGAGAGTTCATGAATTCGTTGATTTTGTCCATATTAATGCATTTCATGTGGCGTTCGCTGGAGTCATTCACAAGTTTTCTTTTTTAAAGATGTGGTAGATCCATCAACTTGGACGTTATTGAAATACACGGCAGACGCAACAGCGTGCAGTACCCAGTTTTTTAGCTCTTGGACACTCCTATCGCTATTATTGTAAAGAAGGCTTTTTTTATCTTTAATGTATATAAATAAATTCAGCAATCATTAAATCATTGCTTTCACATTTCGAATAAACGCCTGGTCACTAAATAAGTTATATTCGGAATTTGCCTCAGTGTAAGAGATTTGAAAAAGTTCTTGAGGTTCCAAAACATCCAACTTCTGCTATGTTCTGTCTGAGTAACATAGTATTGAGGTTTTTGTCACGACCACTATTAGATCTATAGCGATTCCTACGATATACTGCTTCGCGGGATAGCAAATGTTACTCCACGATCTCTGAGAATCGAATAAGAACTAGATTCTAGAGGAAGAAGTATATTTTGATACTGGCCTCGTGATATAGAAATAATATCAAGGCAAGAGGGCGTACAAACAGAAAACGTCCACACAGGAGGAAAATGGGAATAAATCGCTTGGCGCTCGAGAGTTAGTCTTTAGTACAGATAAACTGGAGGAGTACAATATAACAATTGTTGTCAGAATTAAGTACAATAATAAATGTTTATATTTCAGCAGTTGTGTTAA